CCTCATCAAAGATCTGTATTTGTGTGGGCTTAATTTTGGGCTCTCTATTATGTTCCATTCATTGAATGATTATCTTTATGCTAATACTATACTGTTTTAATTACTGTAGCTTTGTAATATATTTTGAAATCAGGAAGCATGATGCCTCTAGTCTTACTCTTTTTCAAGATTGCTTTGGCGATTTGGGGTTAGTTGTGGTTCCATATGAATTTTAGGATATTTTTTTCTGTTTCTATAAGAAAGCGCCAATGGGATTTTCATAGAGATCTCATTGAATCTGTAGACCACCTTGGGTAGTATGGATATTTTAACAATATTAAGTCTTACAATCCATGAACACGGGATGTCTTTCCATTTATTTGAGTTCTCTTTAATTTCTTTCATCGGTTTTTTTTTAAAATACTTTTTAGTGTGCAAGGCTTTCACCTCCTTAGTTTGGTTTAATAAGTATTTTATTCTTTTTAATGTTCCTGTAAGTGGAATTGTTTCTTAATTTCCTGTTTGGATAGTTTGTTGTTAGTGCGTAGAACATAACTGATTTTTGTATGCTGATTTTTCTATCCTAATTTTACCGAATTTATTAGTTCTAACGAGTTTTTCTGTGTGTGTGTGTGGAGTCTTTAGTTTTCTACTTATAAGATCATATTATCCAGAAATCATTTTACTTCTTTCTTTCTGATTTAAATGCCTTTTATTTCTTTTTCTTGCCTAATTGCCCTGGCTAGGACTTCCAGTGCTATATTGAACAGAAGTGGCAAGATTGGGCATTCTTGCCTTGTTCCTGGACTTAGAGGAAAAAATTTTTGTTTTTCACTATGAAGTGTGATGCTAGCTGTGGATTTTTCATATGTAACTATAATTATGTTGAGATAATTTTTTTCTATCTCTAGTGTTTGAGAGTTTTTATCATGAAAGGATGTTTAATTTTGTCAAGTGCTTTTTCTGCATCTGTTGAGATGATCATGTGTTTTTTTATTCTGTTAATGTGGTATATCACATTAATTGATTTTTGTGTGTTGAATCATTCTTGATTACCAGGAATAAATACTCCTTGGTCATGAGGTGTGATCCTTTTAATATGCTTTTGAATTTGGTTTGCTAGTATTTTGTTCAGAATTTTTGCATTTATGTTCATCAGGGATATTGGCCTGTAATTTTTTTTGTTTGTTTGTTTTGTAGTGTCTCTGGCATAGGTATCAGGGTAATGCTGGCCTCATAAAATGAGTTTGGAAGTGTTCCCTCCTCAATTTTTTGGAAGACTTTGAGAGTTATTGACATTAATTCTTTAAATGTTTTTGGTAGCATTCACCAGTGAGGTCATCTGGTTCTGGTTCTGGGCTTTTCTTTGTTGGGAAGTTTTTTATTATTGATTCAATCTCATTAGTTATAGATTTGTTCATATTTCCTATTTCTTTATTATTCAATCTTAGTGGGTTATATATTTCTTGGAGTTTATCCATTTCTTCTAGCTTATCCAATTTTTGGGCATATAATTGTTCAGAGTAGTCTCTTATGATCCTTTGTATGGTATAAGTTATAATGGTATGTTGTAATGTGTCCTCTTTCATTTCTGATTTTGTTCATTTAAGTCTTTTTCTTAATTACTCTAAAGACTTGTCAATTTTGTAAATCTTTCCCCCAAAAGCTCTTAGTTTTAGTTTTTTCTATTTTTTAATTCTCTGTTTCCTTTATTTATGCTCTAATCTTTATTATTTCCTTCCTTCTGCAAACTTTGGGCTTAGTTCTTTTTTTTCTTTTTTTGGATCTACAGGTATAAAGTTTGTTTATTTGCTTGCGTTCTTTTTTTTTTTTTTTTTTTAAATGTAGGCGTTTATCACTATATACTCTTAGAACTGCTTTTGCTGTATCCCATCAGGTTTGTTATATTGTGTTTTCATTTTCATTTGTCTCAAAATCATTTTCTTTTTGTTTTTTTTCCTTGACCCATAGGCTGTTCAGGAGTGTGTAGTTTGGGAGTGTGCTTCAGAATTTCTGTTTAGTACTTTTTTACATTTTCTGAGTCTTTGTTGAAATTCTCACTTTGTTCATGCATTGTTCTGACCTCATTGAGTGTCTTTTTGATGGTTATTTTGAATTCTCTTGTTAGATAAATAATATATTTGCCTTTCATTAGAGTAGGTTTCTGAAGATTTATCTTGATCCTTGGTACCTATTTCTCTGTTTATTTTGTTCACTCTTATTGTTGATATCTACACCTTAGGAAAAAACAGCAACCTCTTAGCCTTTACCGACTGTCGTTGTACAGGAGAAGATCTTCATCAGTCAGCATAGCAGAGATTCTGAGAACCTCTTAAACCTTCATGCTAGTCCAAACTGCTGTCTTTGTTCTTAGTGGTGCCTAGGCGTCTAGGGTCCTATCTGGTTCATCTGGTCCTTATGCTGGGTTCTAGCAGTGCTACAAGACAGATGAGACAGAAGTCAGTCCCTTGGACAACCCTCAGAAATGTTAGAATGTTAGACACATGATCTACCTCTTCCCCCAAGCCCTGCCCCAGGAGAAACTGGGCTCCGGAGTTTTTCTTCAACTCATTTCATGCTGAGCTTCAGGGAGTGGTCATGGCAACTGCCTGTATGCTTGCTCAAACTTCTGTTACGTTATCACTGGTTCCTAGACATCTAGAGTGTTCTAGATTCCATCAGTGCTACAAGGCTGGCAAGACAGAAGCCAGTTCCTAGGGCAGCTCTTAAAAAAGTTGGAATGTTAGATATACAAGCCAACTTTTTCCTTCCCTAAGGAGTGGTGGGGAGCTGCAGGTGTTCTTACGATCATATGGTGTGCTGTATTGGGGGTACATAATTGCCCTTGCAGATTATGGCAAGAAGGTGTCTACAATTTTCTACCAGGTTTGATGTGGTTCATTTCGTGTTTGTGCAGGTGCAGAAGCATTGCACCTTTAGTTTCAGGATTTCTCACAAAGGGAATTTGTATGTTATTGTTGAATCAGTGTGTTCATGTGGGGAAGGAGGGTTCAGGGCGTCCTATTCTTCCGTCTTGCTGATGTCACCCTGTTACTTATTTTTCCTAAACTGGAAAAATGTGAATAAAATACTCATTTTGGAAACAAAATTATCTGACTTTAGTGGGTCTTTGAACTGGGTTTGAGAAGTACAGACAAACTCAACACTCTTATCTTAACATTAAAGTAGATATCTCAAGTCCCTTTTTAATACTTTTAGTTTGGAATACTGTCTAGTCTGTTGGGATAATTAATTTCTTTTTCTATTTCTGCATATCAAATATTGCTTTAAAGAGTCCCTTCAGCTGTGTTACTTAGAGATTGAATAGGGAAATATTTTGTCTTTTGATTAACAGTTTTAGGCTAAAAATATTAGATAAGTATGCTTTTGGTTTGTATACCAGACAAACTTCATGTTAGATAATTCACGAATTTGTAGTCCATTCAAATGTTTATCTTCCAGTTTTCAGAGGGGTTTTTTGTTTGTTAGAATTCTTTCAAGTCATTTTATATTTTTATGAATTATTTTAGAAGAATACTTGTTAATCTCAGCTTTTATTTTTATTGTGAATGTGATTACCTATTATTGAGGGACATATTCCTGTGGGTGTTTCTAATTCAGCATCAAATAATTATTTCTGCAGAGAGATATATGTTACATATGTATTTTACACATAAGCACACACACGTCTTGCATATATAGATAAGTATATGTGTACAAACATGAATCATGTTTATGTTTGTTATATACATTTATCTTGTATATTCCTGTTTATATACATATAAACATGTATATCCATATCTGTGCAATAGTGTGTAAAGTACCTTGAATTCTTTTCAACTTAAAATACTTGGAGGTCTTAAGGAATTATATTTCTTTAAATATTAAGATTTACTTGAATTTAAAATTTTTTATTTTGCTAACATTTGGAAATGTTTTAATGGTATTTGTTAAGAAATGATGTAGCATGGATATTGACTAGCATGCCGTGTTCTATTAATATATTTGCCTTTTGGGGTTTCACAATTACACTATTATAAACCTTTTTGAAAGTACATTTTAGTCAGTATAGTATGTATCTTTTTTCTTAGTTTTAATCAAAAGTAAAATGGTTGGGAAATATAATCACTTTTTTTCCAGTTACTTATTATAGAAAGGATAAGTTAAGAAATGTGAATAAATTGAACAAATTAATAAAATATTTATTAATAATCCACTTTATGGAGGATTTAAAAATAATTTTAATTATAAAATAATGTATTTTAATATAGTTCAGAAATAAAAGTCCTGCTCCCTCTCCACTATCAGATACCTCAGATACATTCTTAGGGTAGCTACTGTTAACAATTTCTTAAATACCTTTTCAGATATGTTCTCTGCATATACAAGTATATATGTATGAGTATGTACATGAGTGTATAATGGAATTGTGCATACACATATACAATATCTACATATATTCTTTTAAAAAGCACTAATGTACTTTAATATACTTTTATAAGGTACTGTGTTTTATAAGGTATAATAGGAATTAAATATATCCTCCATATACATTGAGAAAAGTGGGTAAATTGATGTGCACAATAAAAATGTCTCTTTATGTTTATTTGAAGTTTTTTTCTGATTGTTCTAGTGGCATAGAAGTAAAGTTCCTTTAATGCAGTTTAATAACAGATTATATTTTAAAACTTTATTTTTATGAAAACAAAATTTTTAATTTGTGTAAAAGATTTTACCCTTAATACATGTTCTTAATATTCATCATACTGAAAATAGTGAGCTATCTTTGGTTAGCAGGGTTATTGTGAATGTTGTGTATGGGAAGGGCAGGCATTCTGTTACTTCAGTACTGTGATACCATGTTGTTTGAGGTGGGTCTTTTTCTAAGCAACGGGCATGTTCTACTTTTATTAAAATGATGATAGAAAATGACTTTAAAGCATGTAGTGACATAAAGTTGTATTTAAAAAAAAATCCTCAAAACTGAGCTCATTGTGTGGTTTTACTAATTTTGGTTTTAGGCTTGTGCAGACATAAGAGCCAGTTCAGTGTTTTGGCAGCAAATGGAGTTTGTCGATAGCCTGCATGGCCTACCCAAGATGCCAGAATGGTTATCTACACACCCTTCTCATGGCAATCGAGTTCAACATCTGGACAGACTTATACCTCAGGTGAGCTGACACTGTAGCAGGTGGGACATTGTTTTTACCGTATCATTTATTTTTAATGCTGTCACTTCTGCCTGGTAAAAGAGAGTTCTAGCCTATTAACTATTTTGATTACTATAATTATGGATTATCAGTTGTCAAAGAATTTGACTGAAAAGCAAAATTCTGCTTGTCCACAAGTCTTGGAGAATAAATTGCTGTGTACGGTTGACTTTTCTTAATAATGAAGGTTTAACTCCTTTAGTATGAGACTTGAATTTTAACTGAGTTGATGAAAGTTTAAAACTCAAGGCATATTAAGTTTTTTAAACATGTTGATGATAATTTAATCTTTCCTTGATGATTTAAGCTTTTTGTTAAAAATACCCAGTTAATGAGCTGTACAAAAGTTTTGGGTCAAATGGATATTAATTGTAGTAGTGATGCTGGAATTTGTTTTTTTAGGAAAAAAAATCTTCATGTTAGTTTCTGGTTATTTATTTCTTTCTGAAGATAAGAGTGAAGCATTTGCTCTCTGGTTTTGCTTTTTGTAGAATTCATAAGTGGGTCAAGCTGAGATGGCTTTCTGCCAAGCAGTTTTCAGTATCCTCTGAAAATCTTTTGATTTGTTGACATCATTCAAAATGTTTTTATGGTTTCCATATCAGGACAAAATGGATGTTAGGCATCTCTGAGGCAGGTTACATGCTCTCTTCTATCTCACTTGTGTTAAATTTGGTGGCTTGTTATGAAAGCAGAACATTTTTTAGCAATTTAAGAATTGGTACTGGGCCACGCGCTAAAGCATAGCACAACAGATCCAGGTGTATTATAGAAGTATCTTTCTCATGCCTGTAATCCCAGCACTTTGGGAGGCTGAGTTGGGTGGATCACCTGAGGTCAGGAGTTCGAGACCAGCCTGGCCAACAGGGTGCAACCCCATCTCTACTAAAAATACAAAAATTAGCCCGGCGTGGTGGCATGTGCTTGTAATCCCAGCTACTTGGGAGACTGAGGCAGGAGAATCGCTTGAACCCCGGAGGCAGAGGTTGCAGTGAGCCGAGATTGCTCCACTGTGCTCCAGTCTGGGCGATAGAGTGAGACTCTGTCTCAAAAAAAAAAAAAAAAGTATCTTTCAGTATAACTTCAAATTCAGCCCAACAAATACTGAGTACTTCTTAAAAGAAAGAAATGATGCTAGATGTGGGGGATACAAAGAGGAATAAGACATGGTTCTTGATATTTACAGGATGCTAAGATACATAAAGAATAATTATTAATACAAGGATATGATTTATCATAAGAAAAATAAAAGTATAGTGGTGTGCAGTTTGAAGGAAGATGAATCTGCATCCGGTTTGGGATAAGAAACTAGTGCAAGAATTATTCATTCATTCATTTGATCAATATTTATTGATACTTATTGATAATCTATTCTGTATTCTATTGCTGGGGAATGAGCAAGGAACAAAACAGTCTGTTCTCTTGGAGTTAACATTCTAGTTAGGTAATGAAAATAAGAAACAAACATGTAGTATGCCTAGCAATAATAAGCACTTTGGGAAAAAATAAAGCAGGTTAAAGGTATTAGAGAGGGGCAGGCAGCAGAGAAGGGGTACTAGTCTGTGTTCTGTTGTCAAGGAAGACCTCACTAATCAGAATCTGGAAGGAACCATGAGAGCAAGTCCTCTAGCTGTCTGGAGGCTGAGGAAGCAGCTGATGCAGAGAACCTAAAGTGAACGTATGTTTGATGTGTTCAGGGAATAGCAAGGAAGACATTGGGGCTGAATGGAGTAAGGGAGGGGAAGAACAGTTCAAGATGAGGTGAAGGGGGACCAGACCATGAAGGATCTTCTAAGCCATTTTAAGGACTTGACTTTCACTTTAAGTGATAGGGGAAGCTAGTTGAGGATATTGAGCAGAGGAATGACTTGATTTGACTCATATTTTATTGTGATCACTGGCATCATTATGTGGAGAGTAGACTAGTAGACAGGGAGATTATTTAGGAGACTTGTAATCCTGGTAGGAGATGATGGTGGCTTGGACCAAGGTATCTGGTGGCAGAAAATGGGAGAGAGAATCAGTCAGATTCTAGATATATTTTGAAAGGAGTAATGACAGGATTTGTTGGTGGTTTAGGCATACTTTGTGCCTTTTGTGAGCATTGAGGACAGCCAAGCATGACTTCTTAACACCTATTTTAGTTTGTTCAGGTTACTATAACAAAATATCATAGACTGGGTGGCTTATAAACAACAGAAACTTACTTCTCGCAGTTTGGAAGGCTGTGAAGTCTTAGATCCAGTTTCCAACAGATTTGGTGTCTGGTGAGGGCCCACTTCCCAACTCATAAACAGCCATCTTCTCCTTGTAACCTCACATGGTAGAAGGGGCAAGGGAGTTCTCAATAACTTCTTTTATAAGGGCGCTAACCCATTCATGAGGGCTCCACCCTTATGACAATCACCTCCCAAAGGCCCTTACCTCCTGATACTGTTACACTGGGAGTTGGAATTTCAACATACAAATTTTGGTGGGACACAAACATTCGGTCTATATCAGCACCTATCTTAACTAGATGTCATTTATATTCTTAATTTGAATAAAAAATATTTGAGAAAGAAGTAGCAGTGAAATTTACCTGATATAATATGTAGTAATTATTCCTCTTAAAAAGGCACTATAGGCATGGGACATTATGTATTTCATCAGTAACTGACTTGTACTGTAAGGTCCTTCATGCTATCCAAGGTCCCCGGGACTTTATTGCACCTGGGAGGCCTGGGCCTGTCTCTAAAGCAATAATAACAGTATGATTTTCTCTTGGATTTTTTCTTTGTATTTTTGCTCAATGAAATTCTAAAAATATGTGGTTTGTTTAATTAGATAATAAATTCTGTTAGCCAACTTTTCATGTGAAGACTTTCCTAAATTTTGAGTGGTCATTTCATCATCAAATTACTGAGCATCTTCAGAGAGGTAAAAACTGTGCTTTAGAGAAGTCTTTAAAATAATAATGAATTGATTAATGAGTAGGAAGAAAAATGGCTAGAGAAACAAATGTTATTTGGGAGCCAATGATGAAGACAAAGACATGACACATTTTTCTTCTAAAAATAAACTATCCTAGTTCAGAAACTTAATTTGAAAACCTCATATAATTTCTTATATTCCCCACCCCAAGTGATTAAATTCAATTTGAAAGTAATAAAACTCTATTGCAATATTGGGAATAATTCAGTGGTTGAAGTGAAACTGATAGTACAAGCGTATATTGTTAATTAGAATACACAGTCATAACTCAAAGATTGGAATTCCCTATTATCGTAGTCTAATTTCTGTAATGAAAGAAGGCAGTTTCTCAGGCAGTGTATAGAATTATGTGAGTCTATATATTACTACTACGTTTTAAAATTATATTTTGTGTAGCATGCTCTAGTGAGTATGTTATGTTCTACCTAAGGCTCCTGTCCTTTGACGTCTCTAGCAGTATGGTGAAGTGATGATCCCCTCAAAGGCAGTTGAGAATACAGCACTAGAAAACACAGACAAGTCCAGACCAGAGATAAAGATTTCAGAGTTTCAGAGTCATCTAAACAGAAGCGATAGTTGAAACAATGAGAATGGATGAGTTCATGTAGGAAGTAATTACAGAAAAAGATCAAAGTAACAGTATTACATATTTTCCACATTTAATGGATGGGAGGAAGACAGAGCCTGTTTTGGTTCAGATTCATAGGAGGAGAACAAAGAAAGCAGAATTCTGTGGTTCTGTGATTAGAACACAAATTTTGACCATTGTGATTTTTAAACTTTAGCTTATTTAAGATTGCATATTTTTATTTCTTATTGGATGCCTTGCATATCGTCACAAAAATGTATTGTTTCTTACTATAAATGTATTGTTTCTTCTTATAAAGCTACTAATCCTTTTGGATCAGCGCCCCACACTTCAGACCTCATTAAACCTTAGTTACCTCCTTTTAGGCCTTATTTCCGAATATAGTTACACTGGAGGTTGGGACTTCAAAATATGAATTTTAGAGGAACACATGAGTCCTTAGCAGACAGTTATGTTTGAGCAGAGATGGGAGGGGTGCAGGAATAGCAGTGGAAAATGGGGTCATTCGGCAATCAAAGGTTTCATTGAGAAGCTGATACTTGAACACAGAAGTGAAGGAGCCAGGCTTGTGGCTGTCTTGGGGAAGAGTACAAGGCCGTGGGGCAGGAGCAACAACAAGAAAACCAGTGTGGGTGGAATGGGGTGAGCAAGGGAAGGAGGAGGGCGTGGGCCTTTGGCTTTTGTTAATAGAGATGGGACACTAGTGGAGGGATTTGAGCAGAGGACTGGAGGAGTGACAAGGTCACTTATGTTTGAAAACAATGTGATCTACAACTCCTGCAAAGCAGTAGTGTAATATAATTTTGGATCATTTTACCGTAGTATATTGTTCAGAAAATAGATTAGTTCCTTTCTTGCTTTGTTTTTAAGTCAAGATAACACATCACATTAGAAAAAAAAGCAAATCTTTGCTTTTTTAAATGTGAATTTCAAGATCAAACATGTATAAATTGCCTAGTTAAATATGATCTTGTGATCCATTAGCATTTAAAAAGGATAAATACAGGTTTGTAGCAATTATTACTTGTAGTTAATAAGCTGATATGTTATAATTTTATTTACTTGAAATAATCAGTTAAACACACATTACACATATTTTGGTTATCATAACAACTTGGGTGAAAAAATGAAGAGAGATGTATCAATTTGTTGATGTTTAATAGTATGACAGTTTTAAAATTGTAGTTAGACTGTTCAGACTTTATGTATATTATAATTTGTCCTTGAAAGAGACACCTTATTTAACTTTTTTCTGTAAAGATTGTTATAAAATATGAATAGATGTGAATAAGAGAAATCTGCTTCAAAGATTTATTTTAAAACTGAAAATATTTAGACTGAATTTCTTATTCTCCACTTCACTTATGAACCCTGTTTCTCTCCACCATCCCCTCTTTGT